ACAGAGTTTCGAGCACCAGGAAAGCACCGAAGTTTTGAGGGTGTTCACGTGTCGTACCCTGGGAGGAGACAGCCACTCGGGCGACACTGCTTTGACACTCTTCTGGGCGCTCGAGATTATTTCTGGGATGTGGTCGTTAAGTGCGATGGGAGCAGCATAGCAGGAAAACGTCGACCATGTCTGTGCTTGTGGAAGTCGATCGATGATGATGATGATGATGATGATGGTGGTGATGATGATGATGATGATGATGATGATGATGATGAGGATGAGGATGAGGATGAGGATGAGGATGAGGATGAGGATGAGGATGAGGATGAGGATGAGGATGAGGCTGAGGCTGAGGCTGAGGCTGAGGCTGAGGCTGAGGCTGAGGCTGAGGCTGAGGCTGAGGCTGAGGCTGAGGCTGAGGCTGAGGATGAGGATGAGGATGAGGATGAGGAGAGGATGAGGAGGAGGAGGAGGAGGGAGGAGGAGGAGGAGGAGGAGGAGGGGAGGAGGCGGAGGAGCGGTGGATGAGGAGGAGCGGGAGCGGGTGGGAGAAGGAGGGAGAGGAGGAGGAATAGGCGGGGTGGAAGGAACGGGAGCGGGAGCGGGAGAGGAAGGAGAAGATGAGGAGGACGAGAGGAGGAGGAGGAGGAGGAGGAGGAGGAGGAGGAGGGAGGAGAAGGAGAGAAGGAGGAGGAGGAGGAGGAGGAGAGGAGGAGGAGGAGGAGGAGAAGGAGAAGGAGGAGGAGGACGAGGAGGAGGAGGAGGAGGAGGAGGAGGAGGAGGAGGAGAAGGAGGAGGAGGAGGAGGAGGAGAAGGAGGAGGAGGAGGAAGAGAAGTAGGAGATTTCTTGGTGCCTTCTTGGGCCTCGTGGGGACTTCGCGGGGGCCTCCCGAGTGCTCCTTAGGGGGCCGCGGAGGGCCGCCTTAGTGGCCTCCTCCTGGGGCCTCGGTGGGGCCCCCCTGGGGCCCCATTGGCTTTCGGAGGCCGTCTTGGGGGCCTCACTCACTGGGCCGCCCGGGGGGCCCTGTTGGGGCGATTTGGGGGCCGCTTCCTTGAGCGGGCGAGGACCCCGGCTTTTGGACGTGCCCAGCTCTTTCTGTTCTGCGGAGGCCCTCTTGAGGTCTCCTCGGTGGCGGCCAAAAGGGGGGTAATGACTAGTGGGGGGGATCTCATGGCGGGGGCCATGATATCTCTCAGATTTCATGGCGCCACTTCTCATTCATTTCTATACGTCCCCGGCTACTCCCCCCTCCCTGGGCCGCGCACGTGCCGCCGGCCATGATTTGCGCCACCCCGCTTGGACGCCCCCCTCCTGGCCGCCCCCGATCTCCAGGGGGCTCCAGGAGACCTCAGAAGGCTTCTGAGGTCCTCGAGAAGGCATCCGGGTCCAGAGGCCTTCGGGGGGAGGGTGTTCTGGAGCCGAGCGCCAGACTCTCCGAAGCTCGGCCCAGGCTCAGTCGAGGCCTCCCCCCAGTGGAGCGACGAAAGAAAACGGGGCCGACGGCGCCGACATTCGCGCGCCAGCGACCTCGTCTCTCAGGTGGCGTGCCTCGCTGGCGGCCCGCGTAAGCCACCGCGCAAGGTCGCCATGCCATCTCGCGCAAGACACGTTTCGTCGCTCAATTGTCGTCAGGACGGGAAAAACTGACAGACGCAATTGATCGTCGGCTCCCCAGAGAGTATGGGAAAATAGAGGAAGTGGGGGCGACGACGAAAACCCAGAGGATATGGGAAAAGATGGGGAAGCCTGGGATTCGTGTCTATTTAGCTGTGTGTGTGTGCCCCTGGGCCCCTTCAACTTAAATTGCTCGGACGCGTGTTCGTCGTTTCTCCGTGCGCACGCTTCTTCCCGCTACGCCCCCGTGGGCGGAGCTCGCCCGCCTCGGCATGACCTCTCGGCGCCCGCGCGTCCCACCGCTGCCCACCCCGGCAGCTGCGGCCTCGGACCGCGTGGCGCGCCGCCCCCTCGGGCCCACCGCGCTGCGGCGCGCCCCGCTGGCTTCGGTGGCAGATCGTGGGAGCCCGGGGTATGCCCTGCCAGCTCCGTCTTCAGCGTCGATTGGCGTCGATCAGCGTCTGGGGTCGATGGGATTCGGAGGGCACCAACTGTACACCAACACCGATCCTGGCCCAGCATCACCCTGGGCCCAGGATCGGTGTATGTGCCTTCTTGCCCAAGGCAGGAGGGCGTATACACCGATCCTGGGCCCAGGGTGATCCTGGCCAGGATCGGTGTTGGTGTATAGTTGGTGCCTTCCTAGGGATGGCGCCGGCCTGGTGTCGGTCAGCGTCGCCTGGCGTCGATTCAGCGCCGATCAGCGTCGAGTTAGCGTCGGTCGGCGTCGATTCTGCAGGAGCCGACAAGACGGCACAGTGGAAGCCCATGCCAGGAAACACCCTGGTTCCTTCCAGGGTGTCCTGGGTTTCCTGGGTCTCGATCGCTTTGCGCCGGACGGCGCGACGCTCCCGCACCAAAAACCGATGGACCTCCTTGGATCTCGTGGTGGGTTTCCCGGTGGACGGTCTCTCGTGCACAGGCCTCCACCTGCCCGGGCGGCTCCCATGAGCTGCCACCGACGCTGTCAACGTTCCCGGGCGTCCACCGCGCGAGCTCTGCTCCCGACCTCCCCGCCCCGAGGCGCGGAGCGGCGCGCCCTGCTTGCTCGCGGAAGGCACGGCGAGAGGAGCCGTCCCGGCCGTGGCCCCATGGAGCCTCCCGGCCCTCCTCGCGCTCTGACAGGAATCGCGGGGGGAGGCTTCTCGCCATTTCCGACCTCCGGGGGTCCGCCCCTGGGCTGCCAAAAGACGGCTCCGGAGGAAAGGCCGGTCCCCAGGAAGGGGTTGCCTTGGGGGGGGGCCGACGCTGTGAAGAGATCACGACGCCGGGGGCCTGGACTGGAGGCCCCCCCCCCCCCGCCAGGCGCAGAGCCATATGCCAAGGCTCGGATTCTTCCGGGGGCCGTGGGTGCGCAGTCAAGCCGCACGGCAAGGGGTCCCCGAGCCCTCCTGGGCTCCAGCCTGGCAGCTTTTTTGGTGCCCTCGATCCACGCAAAGTGTCGGCAAGTCTCGATCCAGGCCCCCGCATCCTTATCGTGCGCCCTTGCTCCACGGGTTGACTGTAGGTTGTGAGGTGGGGGCTCCCAGCACGAGCGGGGGGCCCCCCCCCCGGGCCCCAGCATCTGGCACGGCGAGGCGCGCGTCCGGCGCCCCCCTCGCCACGGAGGAGATGGGCCGTGAGGGGCGGGCCGTGGACCCTGGCCGGCCCTGCATCCTGGGCCGGTTGGTGGCGGTCCTGGGGCCCATGGGAGGGCCCCGGGCCCGGGAGCCCGGTGACGGCGAGGCACTCCTGGGACCTGCTTCCCGCGAGGCCAGCTTCACTCTTGCTGCCCCCCCCCTCGTGTAATTCCAAGGGCGTTCTCGCTCGATGTGCCCAGGAGGCGCTCTTCCCCTCGTGCCTCGCGGTGCTTCAGCGCGCGCGCCCCGCCGCTGCTGGACCGCCGTCTGACTCTCTTACGGCCGCAGACTGAGAAAAGAATGTGCCCATGATGCTGCAGACCTTGGAGGATTCCTTCTCTGGCGATGGCGGCGGTGATGCCCACCGCCAAGCCACGACTGGAGTAGGTACTTTTTCCTCGTGGCGTCTCAAGCCACTGCGACTTCTGCTGCGGACCAGAACTACCAGCCCAACTCCAAGTCCAATCGACTTCAATCAAATGCTTTGGGATTTGGCTCAAAAATCTTCGGCAGGGTTGGAAATGGAGTGGCCTTGGGGTCTGTGAGCGCCCAGCAAAATCAAAGCTGAACGGCTCCAGACCCCAGATTCCTCATCCAAGGGTTCCTCATCCAACGCCCCATCGCCGAAGCTTCGAGGGTCCGGGGCAGCGATGGAAGGGGGGATAGGCACATGGGGGGATAGGCAACGATCCTCAGTCGTCCACTCCTCGCCGCTAGGGCTCTGATACCCCCACTTCGCCCCAGGAACGCGGTGATTCGCGACTGGGGTCCCATCGCCGATCTATCATCGATGCATCGCCGATTCCAGGCCGAGATTCCCCCCCCCCACACCTGTGCCTGTCCCCCCCAATCGTTGCCCTCCAAATTTGCGACGCAAAGATGGGGTCGCCTGCTCCGTATCGAAGAAGAAAAAACGCCATAAACATAAACGTTTGACGCTCCGCGCGGATTTCTTGGATCCGCGCCAGGCCCCTTTGGCAGCGCCTCCTGCGCCGGCCGCCCCCTCGCGCGCTCCGCGCGCCAGGGAGGGGGTCCAGCGCGGATCCAAGAAGTCCGCGCGGAGCACCAAAAGTTAATGTTTATGGCGTGTTTCTCTTTTTCTTCTACCGTAAATGCGTTGGCCCAAGCTCAATGGGCAACGCTCCCTGACTCTCCAGCTCCGCCCGCGCGCGGTGGCCGGGCGTGCCTCGGGTTTTGGCAGACGAAGAACGGTACAACACAATGTTTTCCGCCGCCCAGGACCCCTGCCCCAGGGAGGCTGGCCAGCTAAAACCCTTATCGTGGCACGTCGGGGCACAAACTCTCCAGCCGTCGTGGGGCAGGCGCCCCAGACTCTAGGCCTCCCAGATGGGGTCGGAGTAGACGGGGTCGGAGGATCGCGCCGCATCGTCGATGCATCTGCGATGCGGCCCGATGTGAAGCCCGATTTTCTCCACGCCGGCGCCGCCGATACATCGCCGACGTCGCCGATGCATCGCTGATGCATCGCTGATGCATCGGCGATGCATCGCCGATGTATTGGCGATGCAGTGCTATCCTCCGACCCCATCTACTCGGACCCCATGTAAGAGGCCTCTACCGACGGCGGGACAGTTTATTCCATACCGTTCTTCGTCGGCGAAGGGCTCGTGCGCGCCTTCGCCTTGGCGCGGGCCCGATGCCGAGCCCCTGGTGCGGGGGCAGCGCGGGAGGCCCCCTCAGGCTCCCGAGCATAGGCGGCGGCCGCGAGCCCGGCCTGGCCGACGAGGCGGTGGCCTGGCTCCGGAGGCGGCTCGATGCCGAGCGCCGTGAGCTCAGAGGAGGAACAGGTGCCCGCGGTTGCCTCGGCCCCCTCGCCCGCGGTCCCCTCTTCGGGCCTCCTGCCCTGACCTTCCAGAGTGCTAAAAAATAGCACTCCAGACCTATAGATCGATCTGGACTGCCTCAAACCCCGACAGGAATTAGGACGTCGACGTCCTGGTGCTATTTGTTAGCCCTCCTGGAAGGTCAGGGTGGGAGGCCCTCCTCGTCGCCACCGCCGGCTCTGCCTCGAGAAGTCCCGGTCTCAGCGCGCGCCCCGGGAGAGGTCCGGGGGAATTGCAGCGGTGCCGGTGCCCTTCGGAATCCCCAGGAGCTGCTGGGGCGCCACGGCGCACTGCTCACCGGCCTGGCCGAGGTCCTCGGGCAGGACGCCCGCACCGAGGGCGCCGCGGCCGCGGCGTCGCCGTCACGGTGGGTCGGCACAGCCAGGGGCCGCGAGGAGGAGGAGGTCCCAGCGGTCGTCGCCTGCGATGCGGGGGCCGGTGCGAGGCCCTGTACAGCAAGTGGCATCCGCCTCGGCCTGGCTGGGAGCTCGGGCGCGAGGAGCACCGCGGAGCTCACCGAGCACGCCCTGAGCGAGCGCGGGCTGGACGCGAGCGCGTCCCCCTGGATGGAGCCGAGGCCCAGATCAGGCGGCGGCGAGGTCAGCCAGGTGAGGGCGACGGCAGAGATCACCCATCACGCCTTGCGAGACCGCGGGTTAAACTCGGCTCTCTTCAGGATCGGCACGCAGGTTCGCAAATCGGAGTTTTCCGGTGCAGATACCAACAGCATCTCCCGATCGAAGGTTGCTGTGGTGCAGCGCGC